GTTTACTTCAACTTCAGAAATTCTTAACTCTGACCTTTCTTCAGAGGTTCTAACATCAGAATCAGATTGAGACTTATCCCAATTCCAAACTTCTGATTCCTTCACAATCACATCTCTGCTGAATTCAATTTTATTGGTTTCTGGACAATAGAGCTTGTATGCACCTGTACTGTGGTACCCTATCAGAATCATCACTTTGCTTCTATCATCCAGCTTTTGTCTTCTGGCTTCTGGAACATGTTTATAGCAAACAGAACCAAACACCTTCAGATGACTAACACTTTGCTTGTCTCCAGTCCACTTCTGCATAGGAACTATTTCCTTCAACTTCTTTGTAGGACATCTGTTGAGTACATACGTTGCAGTGGCAACAGCTTCTCCCCAGAGCTTCTGAGGAAGCTTCTTCTCCTTTAGCATGCTTCTCACCATATCAAGCAGAGTGCGGTTTCTTCTTTCAGCAAGACCATTGTGTTGAGGGGTATAAGGAGCAGTAACCTCATGCTCAATTCCATTCTCCTCACAGAACTTCTGGAACTCTTTGGAGTTATACTCACCTCCACCATCAGTTCTAAGAATCTTCAACTTCTGACCACTCTGATTCTCAGCCTTCATTCTGAACTTCTTGAATTCATCAAACACCTCGTGTTTAAACTTAATAAGGGATACCCATGTCATTCTTGTGAATTCATTAACAAATAACACAAAGTATTTATTCCCTCCAATTGATGCTACTGGAAATGGACCACACACATCAGAGTGTACAACTCCCAAGACATGTTTTGCTCTTGGAGCAGCTTCTGATGCAAATGGCAATCTTGGTTGTTTTCCTTCCATGCAAACTCTGCATGACTTTTCAGGCTTCTTAATTGCAGGAATTCCATGTACCAATTTCTTTGAATTCAGATGTTGTAAGCTTCTGAAATTCAAATGACCAAATCTTCTGTGCCACGGCTCACTCTCCTTCTCAGTACTTGTTGCACTAAGACACTCTGAGTCTGCAGTTCTGACATTCACCTTGAATGTTCTATTCCTTCCCTGTTCTAACTCCATAATCAACTTCTGATTACAATCATACAGCTTCAGAAGATTGTCCTTCATGGTAACTGAGAAACCTTTCTCAATTAATTGTCCCACACTCATCAGATTGCTTCTGATGCCAGGTACATACCACACATTCTGAATCAATGCTATTTTCCCATTGTTCAGAGTCACTCTGACATTTCCCATACCTTCTGCATTAAGATATTTGTCATCAGCACATCTGATCTTTGTTCTCTTTTCAGAGTCAAAGTCAACCAGCCATTTCTTGTTTCCAGTAAGATGATTTGAACAGCCAGTGTCCATATACCACCAGTCTGTCAGATCCACATTATCAGATTCAGAGGCCATCAACAGCACAGATTCGTCATCAGAGCCTCTGGCTATATTTGCTTCTTCTGATTTCTTCTCCTTGTTTGACCAACAATCTCTAGCAAAGTGACCAAACTTCTTACAACAGTAACATTGGATCTTCTTCTTGTCATACTTCTCTTTTCCCTTCTGAGCATTCTTTTGTCTATCAGAGGTTGAGGTTTCTGACTTCTGACCACCATCAGATCTTCTCTTGGCTTCTGACTGCTTCTGATACCTCCTATCAGAAATTGCTTTCAGAGCCTGCTGCTCTACTTCCCTTTCAGAAGTTCTCTCAGTCAAACGCAACTCTTGCGCTTCTAAACTGCTCTGCAGCTCTTCAATTCTCATTGTGCTCAGATCTTTGGAATGTTCTATTGCTACCACAATGTAATCAAATTGAGGAGTAAGGGATCTCAATACTTTCTCCATGATTGTTTCTTCAGAAAGAGTTTCTCCACATGCCTTCATCTCATTAGTGATCAGAATCACTCTGGAGATGTATTCAGAAACTTTCTCATTATTCTTCATGTTGAGATTCTCATATTGCTTTCTCAAGGACTGAAGCTTCACCTTCTTCACTGATGCGTCACCACCATAACATCTCACCAGAGTGTCCCATGCAGCCTTTGCTGTTGTAGAGTCTGCAATCTTCTCAAACACGTTTACATCCACACATTGATGAATGAAGAACAATGCTTTCTGATCCTTCTTCCTTACTTCCTTCTGCGCGTTTTTCTGTTCATCGGTTGCATCTGCTGCTACTGGAACATAACCATCAGTGACAAGATCTAGAACATCTTGAGCACCAAATAGTACACGCATTTGGATCATCCAACGATTCCAGTTTTTACCATCAAATACTGGAAGTTTGGTGTTCATGTTGCCGTTTCCGTTCATCTTCTACTTTGCACAATACACTCAGATTTTTCACAGTGTTTCCCAACCCACAGAATAAAATTCTGATCAGATTTTGTTCAAGATTCAACACGAATCTAAGAATCAAAATCAAACACACAAGACCTCACGTTCACTCGTGTTTCCCGTGTTTCCCAATGAATCTGAACCGGAGCTCTAGATACCAATTGTTGGTGCAAAGATAGAATAAATGATGAAAATAGAGAAATATTCTATTAAAGAGAATGACGGCAGAAGAAACAGGATTAAGAGTTACAATGATTGTCACCCTATTTATAGGCTAAAACTAGGGTTACTAATAATAAGATAAAATACTAAAATACCCTCTAACAAACTTATGGGCTTAAGAAAATAATATAATAAAATATGAATTATTACTAATAGTGCCATACCCGACCTTAATTCATTATGGAAAAGATCTTTAAAGATAAATTTGATACGAAAACTTTAAATTTATTTGATCTTTTTGTCTTGGCATTGACCTTTGGATCTTCCTATTTTGTTGCAGTTTTGGTTTAATTTCTCTCTTTTTCTTTTTTTTATTTATAATTTTTTATTATTTTTATAAATTAGATTCGAATAATGTGACAAAATTAGTATAACCACCTTCACTAAATTCTACCTTTATTAGTATTTTCAACAAATATTAATAATAACTAAGTCAGTAAAAAGAAAAACCACATTTCAAAAATTCACTTTAAACCACAAATATGTTGAGTTGACCCTACCTTTAATTTTAGTTTTGTTATAAAACGAATAAATTTTTAATGATCGTTAGTTAATTCAATAATGATTGACGCTAAATTTGATAAGGAGAATTATAATTTGATTTTTCGCAACTACAATTGAAAAAACTAAAACTACTTGATGACATAACTGATTTCTGAACCGAATTAGTCAGTTAAATAGATCGAATATTGATATGAAAAATAAAATTCTTTATTAAAAAAAACATAAATCTAACTATTTCAACAAAATGTGAGTTATCTATTCATTTTAATTTTTTTCCAATACCAAAAATAAACATAAATTTCATTGTAGCTGAATTGAATCTGATATTTATGTAGCCTTTACTTTCTTCTCAAAATAAATATGATTTTCAATATCTTTCACGGGTAAGGTATGGCAAGTCTTCCCAACAGAGGGATACCTGCTACAGTGACCCATCCCCACTGTCACGTGCCACTCTATCTACTCAAACTTCAAGTAATATTCACCAAAATATATACATCATCTTTCTAAGATTTTCCTTTTTCTATTAGATAGATCATGCAACTTTCCTCTAACAAAATCATACACTAAATAAAAATAAAATATTCTGCATTAATCCCTTAAATTGAGAGAACCATAATAGCTAATAAAATTCTCCTTCAAAAAATTTAATTCTACTACACATTTAAAATTAGAATTATAAGAGGGTTGGCCATCTAATATTGATCTTGGAGACTTGCATGAAAAAAAACAAGTAGAGTTGTAAAATATAGAAAAGAAAAAGTCACCATTCTTATTTTCCATCTAAGTAACATTTAACTTTTTTCTTTTAACAAAACAAAATTACAATATTAGCCACTGACCTAAAAAAATTAATTGCCCCTCACGGATCTGAAATTGCCCTTAACTAAATTCTATTTATGGGGCTTAGCAATTTTATTCATACTAAAAATCTTAAATATTTACCTACTTTATTACCCTTTATTAGTTTTTCTTCTTCTTCATTATTATTATTATTTAATTATTGTATTTGTAGTTGTGGTATTTATTTTATTTTCTGCTTTACAGCTTTTTTCCTATTAAATTTTTTTCACTTTTCAATTCAACCAGCTTTGGAAAAAACAACCACCCAACAAGATTTTTTTTTTCAACTTCTAAAATATGTAAGTTGTTCTGAATTTCTGAACTTCTTGTTTCCTATCTTTTCTACTTTTTTTTTCTCTTTATTATTATTATTTTTTTAATTTAATAATTTTCACTTTTTATTTGATTGAGCTAGTTAAGTTCTTGATGGAGCTGAAAGAAAATCATAGTGACATGTCATGATCTTTGTATTCTGAAGAATATCCAGTGTTTGATACTGGTAAGTAAAAAATAATTTAATTATTTTTGTTCAAATTTTGAGTTTCAGCTTTTTCTTTTTTAAAAGTTTGGAAAATGCTGAACATGAAGAAGATTTATGCAAAAGGGTGTATTTTATTTTTCTATTTTAGTAAAAGTCTTTGAATTTTTTTAATGAGTTTTGCATTGTTTTAATTAAGCTCAGGGTTAAGAAATATTTTAAGTAAATGAGTGGTTTTTTAATCAAAACTGTTATGAATGTTTATTTGAAGTTTTCTATTTTTAATCATGTTTTTAGATTTTTCTTAACCAAGTGGGTTTTCAAATCATAAATTTGCAGAATATCTCAGTAAAATATTTTTTGATGTTTTTTTTTGTCTTTTGTTTGGTGATTAATTTCTGATTTTACTGCTTCATTGTTAGGACATTTGCAAGGAAACATCATTAGTTGTTGTTTTTGTGTGTGTGTGTGTGTTTTTTTTTTTTTTTTTTTAATTTAATGAAGTTTAAAATAGATCTATGATAATTGAGATAAACAAAAAACCAAAGTTAATGCTTTTACTTTTTGATTGGTTTTTGTTATCATCATGCAGATTTTGGTTTGATTGTATAGACATAAGAGGGAAAAGTGTGAAATTTGCATGGAAGGGAGAGAAGGTAGCAGCACTGGAGTCACGGTGATAGGAGCGGAAGCTCCGTCGGCGTATCATATGGCGCCGAGGAGTGAAGTTGCTCTGAGCCAGCATGGTCCTGTTTCTGAATCAGCGGGTGGAGTTATTGGTGTCTTGCCGGTGAGTCTGGGAATGGATGGAGGGGCAATTAAGAAGAAAAGAGGTAGGCCAAGGAAGTACGGGCCAGACGGGTCGGTTTCTGCTGTGGCATTATCGCCTTTTCCGATCTCGTCTTCAGGTCCTTTTTCTAGTGAGTTTTCGTCGGGGAAGCAAGGGAAACCGAAGGGGATGGAGTTCAAGCAGTCGAAGAAAGTTGGAGTTGATCTATTTGGTAAGTTTGTTTTGATGCATTTGGTGCTGTTAATCAAAATAGAGTTCAATTCAGTTATGTTAATAGCTTTTGTTGTTACTTCTGCAGGTGACTCGGTTGGAACCAACTTTATGCCGCATATCATTACCGTCAATGCTGGTGAAGTAAGCTCGAGAGATAACATATTTGAAGCCGTAAATATGCGTAGAATGTCAATCATGTAATGTTATTTACTTACAATTTTGTTGTTTTCAGGACATTACAATGAAGGTTATATCTTTTTCTCAGCAAGGACCGCGAGCTATATGCATCTTATCCGCCAGCGGTGTGATTTCAAACGTTACGCTTCGTCAGCCTGATTCTTCTGGCGGTACTTTGACCTATGAGGTGCTGCTCATTGTTTTATTTTATAACTTTCTGAGCTTTATCATTGGTACAAAATCTCATGATTCATATTTCGGATGTATTTTTTTCCTAGGGCCGTTTTGAGATACTTTCGTTGTCTGGATCGTTCATGCCTACCGAGAGTCAAGGAACCAGAAGCCGGTCCGGTGGAATGAGTGTTTCTTTGTCAAGCCCCGATGGTCGTGTTGTAGGCGGTGGAGTTGCTGGTCTTCTAGTAGCAGCCAGTCCTGTGCAGGTAAACATTTATCATCACCCTATCCTTATGGTTGATTGTTACGAAAACAAAAACAGTTTGATTTCATTTTATCTTTTCATAATTACTTAGGCTATAAGCCCTTTTGATAATCACTTATTTCATTTTCTCTATTTTATCAGGTGGTGGTTGGAAGTTTTCTGCCAAGTAACCAACAAGACCAGAAACCAAAGAAGCCAAAATCTGATTACGCAACAACCACCTTAACCGCACCTATTGCAGTATCTTCCGCGCCGCCACCAACCAATGGCGAAAGGGAAGATATCATGTCTGGACACTTACTACAAAATTCCGGAACACTTAACTCAAATCTTACTTCTCCCTCAGCCTTTCGTCGAGAAAATTGGGTTAACATGCACTCCATGCCGGACTCAATGAAGTCTGCAACCGATATTAACATATCTTTGCCCGATAATTAAGTCGATAATCGAATCAAACCGATGTTGTTGACTACATTCATAATTGAGCTGTTTATTTAATGTTGTCAGTGTTGTTCTGTATTATGTAGATTGTTTCAAACAAGTTATCTATTGTCTGATTATTACCTAGGATGAAGTAGTTGTGTGTAGGCTAATTTGGATGTAATATTTGTTACAATCTGAATTTGTTGAAGCTTAATTTGATGTTCTAAGTCCCAACCTAGGTATATGATTTTGGTATTGCTCATTTTTGGGTACATTTATTTGTTATTTTCACCTAACTCTACATGCTTTAATGTGGTATTATTGTCTAATAGAAATATTATAGGTTTGATATATAGGAATATGTTGGGAAGAATGGTTGAGTTAAAGAAAAGAGAAATAAAATAAGAGATAAATTATTATGAATACATGATGATTTTGTATTTTGATCATGAACAATTAACAAACTTAACTAAGTTGTAATACAATTAATTAACTAATAATCATTTATAATTAAATATAACAACTAATGATGTAAATTATTAATAATTAATAATATTAAGTGTGTTTTAAAATAACAAAAAAATATTTAAGTGAATATTAATTTTTAAATTCGTAAAGAAGTAACATTTTGTGAAGGGTTGCTGCAGAATGAACATAGGCAATGGTTGGAAACATGACAATTTTTTGTTAAAAGGTGTTGTTTCATCAAGGGTCGCAACCTTGTGAAACAACACATGCATGACTTATATATACCTCATTTGAGAATTCAGAAAATCATATCACAAACCAAATATTTTTTTTGTACAAAATTCCAGACACTCTTCGCTACATAATCGAGTTTTCGTCGGTCTTGCGCAAATTCAATATAAAGTTGAATTATTTCAGATATTTATGCGTTCCAACTCTAAGACATACAAAAGAGTGCTTAAATACTTTTAAGGAAAGTGACATCATTCACAATTTAGTTCTGGATTCGTTCGACTTCAACGATATTTCTAACAGTCTTAAAAGTATTCAAATGGCTTTCGACGCTACAGTTTCAAACATCAAAGTTATGAACCAAGACCTAGTTAAGTTGGATCGCTTTGATGGTACCAACTACACTCGATAGAAAGATAAGATGACATTTCTACTGACCGCTCTGAAAGTTCACTATGTCTTAGATCCTGACTTACCGCCAATTCCTAAACCAACCGAGGATGATTCTGATGAACTCAAGGAGCGAAAGAAACGTAAAGAGGACAAATTGCTATGTCGTGGACATATCTTGAATACACTATCTGATCGTCTATACGACCTCTATACTGATACTCAATCTGCAACAGAAATATGGAAAGCACTCAAATTTAAATTCAAGACCGAAGAGGAAGGTACAAAGAAGTTTTTAATTTCTAAATACTTTAACTTTAAATTCATGGATTCCAAGCTCATTCTTCCCCAAGCGCACGAGTTACAGATTCTGGTAAATAAAATAAAGGTTGTGAAAATAGACAAATTTTCAAGTTGGTGCAATCATTGCAAATTACCACCTTCATGGAAAGGCTATAGAAAGAAATTGTTGCATAGTTATGAGGACTTCTCTTTAGAGAAAATCCAGAAACATCTTCGAATTGAGGAGGAATCGAAGGAAAGAGAGAAATCAGAGTCTGCTGGTCTTTCCAAAGCCAATATTATGACTGCCAAACGAAAAAAGAAACATGATGGCTTGAAGAGTCATTTTGGACCTAAAAAAGAACACAACAAATTCAAAAATTCTAGCGGTTCAAAAGGTCCGAAAAGTGGCTGTTTTTTTATGTGGAAAACCTGCACACTATGCTCGAGATTGCATGCACAACAAGTCAAAAAATGAGGCCAATGCAGTTCGTGCAAATGATGAAATAATTGCTACGGTGAGCGAAGTAATGACAATCAAAGGCAAAGTGCAAGGATGGTGGTACGACACGTGTGCTATTGTACATGTCTGTTATGACAAGGTTTCTTTCAAAACCTATTTTGAGGTAATTGATGGACATGAAGTACAAATGGAAAATGAAATACGATCTAAAGTTGTTGGAACTGGTTTCGTCGAACTCAACTTCACTTCCGAAAAGAAAGTCACTCTTATTAATTGCTCCATGTTCTCGACATGACTAGAAATCTTGTTAGTGAGGATTTGTTGGGTAAACTAGGAATTAAATCTGTATATGAATTGGGAAAACTTATTTTGACCCGTAATGATGTATTTATAGGAAAAGGATATTCTGCTGAGGGAATGATCAAACTTTGTACTACCGACAATAATATTAATGAAATTTCTAATTTTGCTTACATGCTTGAGTCTGTTTCTTTATGGTATAATAGATTATCACATACCAGTATTAGTTAAATGAAGAGACTAATTAAATCTGGTTTGATTTCATGCAAATGATTTCGAAAAATGTGAATTATGAATTAAATAAAAAATGATTAAGAAACATTTCAAAAGTGTTAAAAGAAATACAAACCTCCTTGATCTTGCACATTCAGATTTGTGTAAATTTAATGGCATGTTAACCCGTGGGGGAAATAGATATTTCATTTCATTCATAGATGATTCTTCTAGGTACACATATGTGTATCTTTTAAAGCATAAAGGTGATGCTTTTAATGCCTTTAAATTTTACAAAGCAGAAGTAGAAAGTCAATTAAATAAAAGTATCAAGTCCTTAGGAGTGATAAAGGCGGTGAATACTTTTCTACAAAATTTGATATGTTTTGTGAAGAACATGGCATTATACATGAATGCTCTGTACCTCGCACACCACAACAAAATGGTATAGTCGAGAGAAAGAATCGAACATATCAAGATGTGATGAATGTCATGTTAATGCATTCCAAATTTCCATTTAATTTGTAGGGTGAGGCCTTACTAACCGCTTGCCACATAATTAACAAAATTCCTTTGAAGAAAAACGGTATTTCTCCATATGAGGTATGGAAAGACAGAGTACCAAATATCAGTTACTTTAGAGTGTGGGGTGTGTGGCCTACTATAAAAACATGGATCCTAAGAGAACTAAATTGGGCCCTCGAGGAATAAAATATGTTTTTTATAGGATATACTCCAAATAGTAAAGCATATATAATTTTAAACTTAGAGTCTAATATAATTGTTGAATCCCGAGATATATAATTCTTTGAAAACCTTATCACTAAGGATAAAGAATCTGAGTCTCCCACAAACAAAGAATCTCGTGAGGAAGGTTTGTCTCAGAGTATTGAGATACAACCCGAAAATACTTCTTGGATAATTGAAACTCAACCTGAGCCTAAGATAAGCAAGAGAATCTGAAAACAAAGGATCTAGGACCAAACAAAATTGATTCTTAACTTATTTATTTTTATCTAGTTGAAGGAAACTGTGAGGATTATGTTCGGAGTATTCCCATTATTCTTCAAGTAGAAGATAATCCTAAAACTTACAAGGAAGCAATGACTTCAAGGGAATCTTCCTTTTGGAAGGATGCTATCCAAGATGAAATGGATTCAATCACATCAAATCACACTTGGGAACTTGTTAACTTGCCAAAAGGATCAAGGCCCATTGGATGCAAGTGGGTGTTTAAAAAGAAATATCATAGTGACGGTATATTAAACACATATAAGGCAAGATTAGTAGAAAAGGGATTTAGACAAAAGGAGAGTGTTGATTACTTTGACACATATGCACCAGTAGCAAGAACAACAATAATTAGAGTATTGTTCGTCTTGGCCTCTTTGAATGACCTTATAGTTCATCAAATGGATGTTAAAACGACATTCTAAAATGTAGATCTCGATAAGGAAATCTACATGGAGCAACCAAAAGGCTACGTGCTTCCTGGAAATGAACAAAAGGTGTGTAAGTTTGTCAAAACCCTATATGGACTAAAGCAAGCACCAAAACAATGGCATCAAAAATTCGATTATGTCATACTTTCAAATGGATTTACTCTTAATTCTTGTGACAAGTGTTTATACACAAAGGTACGGAAAAATATTATAATATTCCTTTGTTTATACATTGATGATATGTTGATAATTAGCAACAACATGGATGAAATTTTAGAAACAAAAAGGTTTTTAAATTCTATATTCAAGATGAAAGATCTTGGATTAGTTGATACAATTGTAGGGATCAAAGTAAAGAGAAATAGTTGGGGTTACGAACTTAGTCAAACACATTATATTGAAAAAATGCTAAGTTCAAACACCTAAACTTTAAGGAAGTAACCACTCCATTTGATCATGTCGTCAAACTTCAAAAGAACAATGGCTCAATTGGAGTATGCAAGTGTGATAGGTGTCTTATGTACTTGATGCAATGTACCATACCCGACATATCATTTTCAGTTAGTAAAATGAGTAGATTTACTAGTAATCCAAATAAAGAACATTGGAAGGGAATCACAAGGATTTTCAGCTATCTATAAAAGACCAAAAATCATGGATTTCACTATGGCAGGTTTCCCGTCATACTAGAAGGATATACCGATGCAAGTTGGATATCCAATGTAGGAGATCATAAATCCACAACTGGGTGGATATTTACATTATTTGGAGAAGAAATTTCTTGGAAGAGTAAGAAACAAACATGCATTACTCTTTCAACCATGGAATCAAAGTTTGTGGCTCTTGCTTTCGTTGGTTAAGAAGCGGAATGGTTGAGGGACCTTTTGTTAGAAGTTCCATTGGAAAAAGACAATGTTTCAAAGGTGTTGATACACTGCAATAGCCAAGCCACTTTAGCTAGAGCATTCAGCGAAGTGTATAATGGAAAGTCTATACACATAAAACTTAGACATTCATTTGTGAGAAAATTGATTAAAGATGGAATCATTCATTCACCTATATACGAACAAGCTATAATTTGCCTGATCCATTCACTAAGCCACTAGCCAAAGACTTAATAAAAACAACCTCGAGAGGCATGGGGTTGAAACTCCTTGAGTAAGAGTTCCAACAGCGGCTGCAACCCAATCTTACGTTAACAGAACATTAACCTCAAGATCCAATGG